AATTGCTATATAAAATTTGTTTCATTGTTGCAGGTAGGGGGCGGGCACAATCATGTTTAAGGCAATGTCAATCCCATTTTGGCGGGCAGGCAACCCCCTACATTTCTCTTTTAATGATATTGTAGCAGGTTAGTGGTGGGCACATAATTCCACGAGCTAGCGAGCGTAGCGAGCAAGCAAAAAAAATCACTTCTCTTTTATAGGGAAAATATGGTATTTAAACTTGGGTTCATTGTTCCATGTCAGGGACGTGATTATTAAAAGCGGTGTTATTTCTATTTTGGCGAGCGAGCAAAATTTTTGTAATGATAATTGGTTTATAAATTTCAGATTTTTTTTTGTGTTTTTTGTTTTGTTTTGCAGGGCAGGGCTTACACAACCATGTCTAAGGTGATGTTAATTCCGTTTTGGCGAGCACGAGCACACCAAAACTTCTTTGAATAACGTTTGGTACATAATTATTAACTGGTTGTTGCAGGTTGGGGCGGACACGTTAGCGGTGGCAACTCCATTTTGGCGAGCGAGCATAGCGAGCAAGCAAAACAAAAAAAATCTCTTTTAATAGAAATTAATAAATAAACTTGTTTTTATTGGGGCAGGTCAGGATGGACGCAATCGCGTTTAACGCGATTCAATTCCTTTTTGGCGAGAGGGCGAAAAAACTCTTCCATTTTTAATGATATTGTTGCAGGTCAAGGGTGGGCACAATTGTTTCCAAAGCAATGTCTATTCATTTTATTTGCGAGCGAGTGTAGCGAGCTAGAAAAATGAATTAGTCTCTTTTAGCAACATTTACATATACAGTGCGTCCCAGAAAAAACGAAACCGAGAAGTATCGATGTTCTATCATAACTTAATCACAACTATAATTAATGAATGATACATATTCATTCATTATGGTTGTGATTAAGTTATGATAAAACATCGATACTTCTCGGTTTCGCTTTTTCTGGGACGCACTGTATTGTGTGTTATTGTTGCCATGGTTGCAGTTTGGGGCAGGCACAATTGTATTCTAGGCAATACTAATCCTTTTCTTTTTTCAGGGGGACGAGCAAGTGAAAACATTTAATACAAAATAGGCTAGCAAGCAGTTCGCGCCAGCGAAGAGTTTCGAATTTGTTATATCACTTATATTTTCCTATTTTCATTTGTTTTAATTTTTCAGGGCCGTATGCGGAATATTTTTCTGGTGGGGGAGGGGGAAAGATGCGTTAAAAGTTTTCGAAGAATCTCAAAAGCAAAAGGAGTGAAGGGAGTTCGAGCGACCGAACTGGTCAAGAGGGTACTTTTGCATTTTCAAAAGTAGAATTGAAGGATTTGGTATAGGCCTACACTACATTTTCAGGAAAAAAACTGTACGTTTTCAAAATATCTGGGGTCAACTGCCCCCCCCCCCTGGTGCGTACGACCATGGTCTTTTTAAAAAAAAATTCCCCATTTTTATTCGTTTCCTTTTCTTTTCCCTTTTTCTTTCTTTTCTCTTCTTCTTCCTTTTTTCTTTCCTTTTTTTCCTTTTTTCTCTTTCTTTCCTTTTTTCTTCCCTTTCCTTTTTTCTTTTTCTTTCCTTTCCTTTCTTTTCTTTTCTTTCCCCTTTTTCTTTTTTCCCCCTGGAGCCCGTCAGGGGGGGGGGGGCACTCTGCCCCCTGCCCCCCATAGGTACGCCAGTGGGCAACAGTTTGAGAAAGTGGGAAGGGTCATACAATATTAAATTCCCATTGGTCAACAGGTCCACTTCCTTTCATGTTCCCCCCGAACTTGAATTCAGGGAAATCCTACCAGTCCTACAGTATAGCCCGAAACATGACTCATAACTTTGATGGATTAGGCCATTTGACCAGTCTGTATTCCTGGCCGAAACCAAAACAATAATAAAATGGTCAAGGGTGTATTCCTCTTTTGTTATGTACATAACAAAAGAGGAATACAGCCATATAATGATACTGAGAATCATGACGCCTACTACTTTGAAAACATTGAGAATGGCTGTGTAGAAAGACATATTGCCCCCAGGGGTAACATAAACTCACCCTTGACCATACGAAATTTGAAAGGAAATGGACATGAGAAAAGCACCTAACTAGGAATAACAAGCATATTCCTTTCATAGCAAAAGCGCTCCTCACAATTTCTGTAAATTTGGCAGTTTAACGCTACGCGTACCGCCTTGACCGGACTGTGCGGTATCTGTGCAGTTCTGTGTGTAGAGAGGTCGGGCTGTATTCATTATTTCTTGGGGGTGCATAAATTGCTCTAACTATACGTACGCGTGTAATGCGCAAGTTTATTGTGACGGCACTAAACCCATCCCACTCATTGTTCCCCTATTTTCATAATGGTACTGACCCAATGAAATGTAGTGCAGTGCGCTCGTACGCGCTGCGCTGCGTGTGTACATGTACTGTACTTATGCATGTTCAGTTATATGTGTATGCATAGCATTACGTACATATGCATACAGGGCTAGCTGGCACAAAACCCTGGGTCGGGCTTCTAAAATGGGACATGAAGCATGATTTGACATGAAAATTGACGGAGCTAAAAATGAATCAATCAAAATGAAATTTATATGTATGAAAAGCTTACGTATCATATGTCATTGTCTGTGATTGAGGATTTACAAATTTGACGCAAAACGCATTGCTGCAAAGTTAAAGATTGGTTTATTGAAAGGCAATCGAGCACAGTGCGACCGATCCATTGACATTGTGTATGAGAGAGTAATTTTTTTTTAATGGATTGTAAAGTTCAACGTCAAAGTGACGGAGGATTTTTTTCAAGTAAGGGCATGGTTTTACATGGAATGTAAAGGAAATGTTTCCTTCTTCTCATATCTCGATTGAGGATATTATTCTCAATTTCGATTTTTAATGGTAAAGAAAAGTGTAAAAAGATGTCGAGAATTTTACCATATGTCATGTAATATAAAATGCGCGCGGGTCGGTTGATCTCCCAAAAGGAGCGCGAAGGAATTGATATGCACTACGTGCAAAACGAATGCGATTTTCTGACGAAGATAAGAAGAATATTTATGGGGCAGAATGTGAACGAAAACAAGGCAATGACGAAGGTCGTCATTGCAATAACATGCAGCCTTTTCACACACAGCTAAAATTCATCGTATCTAGAGATGATTAGTATAAACGTGTTTAACTCAACAGTTTTAAACATGTTTATAGAAAATTTTCCCTGTGTGAACATCGTTTATACGATGTTGGGATAGATAATAATTTTACCCCCCCCCCCCCCCCCACCCTGAAAATGATCTCCCCCTAAAAATTACCCAACTTATTATCGGGGTTGACTTCCCCTTTAATGAACAGGGGGTATTGTTCTTGGTTGTCCCGGGGGGGGGGGGGGGTCAATGTCCTATATAGGGGTTAAGTTTCAGAGATGGGGGTAATCGTCATCGGGGGTAATTTTCTGGGCGTAGTTTGAGTCGTCGAGGGGTAATTGTCATTTGGGTAATTATCCTTGGGAGTAGTTTTCTGGGGTGTAATTGTCCTTATTATGATAGGCGAATAAGGTGGGAGGCCGGGATTGAAGCCCCCCCCCCCCCCCCAGCGCTCCCCCGAAGAATGTTGCAATGATGTTTGGCCGTTCGTTCGAGCAACCGACAATTTCGGGTAACGATGTGGTCTATTGATTTGTAATTTAATGTAGGCCTACTAGTCATGAAGTTAAATTTTGTGACAAAATTAGATATGATTGATATTAAGAAATGCTTGAAGTTCGGTTCTCCGACAGTGATCCCAATGACAAAAAATAGGTCCGGCTTTTAAAAAAGTTGCCAGGGTTGGTATAGATTTGCAAAAAGTTTGTATTCATGTTGTGTCGCCTTTTAATCCAGCGTCGTGGCTTTGTAGCGAAAAGAGTGCTTGTTTATAATACGATACAGGATGTTTCTTCGATTACACCCCTCCTTTTCCCCATTTTTCTTTTAGTCTCCCTCTTCAATTTTATATCCTTCTTTCTTAATACTTCTATGCTTTAGGCTATAATTATTTTTCAATTTTTTTTTCAATTGTTTGTCTGTTATCTAATTTTACCAACATGACCAACATGAATCATGACATTTTCGCTGCCATAAATTTCCCTCAGTTGACTGTGAATAAAATAAATATAGGGGTAGAAACTAAAATCCCAGTCTGTTGTTTCATGTGAAATAAACCTATATGAATGGCTATCGAAAGAGTAGTATAAATAATACATTAAGGGCATACGCCTGTCAGGCCTTTCAAATTGCTAAGGTGATTCTTACGTTGTTAGTTTTGCGAAAGTTTTATGGCGAATAAAAGGTGAACATTTTTCATCTCTATCCATAACATAAATATCTCTCGGCAATAAAATGAATGAATATTGAATAAATAAATAGATGAATGGATGAAATTAACATGTAGCATTATGTAGAAAATGTGGGGGGGGGGGGGGTGGGGGCAGTGGCGGATCCCGGGGGGCCCGGCCCCCCCCCCTCCCCCTTGAGAAAAAAATCATGTAAAATCACGTGATTTTTACCTTTTTTTGGCCCCCCCCCCCCTGGCGCTCAAGGGGGGGGGGGTGCAAATTGAATTTTTTTTTTGAGGATCAAAAAAAAAAAAATGTGCTCACTACCCCCCCCCCCCCACCCCCATGGAAGTGAATCGACGACTTCGTTTTCAAGATCATTTCGGAAAGTTTTATCTTTCAAGTTGAACTATTATTATTGAATGCATAAAATACTGCATAATTTAGAACAACTAGAAAACAAAAAACACAACAACTTGAAGTCTTGAACAAATAATCAAACAGGAAACCACATTTGCGTCACATAGGCCTACCCTAAAATTGTAATGATGATGATTAAGACGATGTCGGCGATGATGATAATTCCTATGACGAAAATGCTATGCTTTTCCAACCAATATCCTAAAAATATACGCTAATTTATTTTTTAATCAAGATTTGAGAGATGTCGAGAATAATTTGCAGTTTAAAAAAAAAATTAAAAAAATGAAGTGCCATTACTCTCTTTCCAAAGTGTTTACTTTAATAGTGGTAGTTTTTTTTTGACAAAATGTTGTTATTGTGGATTTTTTTTTCTTCCCCTCTCCCGATTAGCGATAGAACACTGAAGATTTGACTGAACACATTATTAAAACATCATAGACAAGTCGCAGGATTTTCCAAAGGCAGTAAAAAATTGTTTTTCCAGATCAGAAACTGATAAATAACAGTGCACTTGCATTAGGCCTACAGAGGCAAGGGAAGAAATAAAGAAAGAAATATCAATTATCAAAATAAAATGTAGATCGAATTCTACTGGGAAGCAATTTGATTTGGCCTAACGTGTACCCGAGATGTTTCCTTTTTCTATACTTTTGATGCGCGCCCACCATCGGGCGGAATTAGGGCGGGTCTAGGCGGAATTAGGCAAGGAAAATGCCTCACGCAGACGGCGCGCTACGGACAATCGCTTATGATTTCGGGCGTAAGAATGGCATAGCTAGATTTGCTAGAATTTCGGCAACAAATTGGTATACATTAGCGCCTGTATAATTCATTTCCAGAGAAGTTACCTGAGAAAAACTGCCCATCGGGCGGAAACCGGGCAGGGTACGGTACGTGTGTGCGATCGATCGAGAGCTAGATAGCTAGCTGATTAGATTTAGAAGTTAGAGAAAGTAGAAAGACTCCGCAGAGCTCAGAGCAAACAAACTGATAGAAAGTATGAATATTTGCTCATTAATCTTCATTCTGTCTGTTATGTGTCATGATGTCACTGGATGTGGGATCACAACCCATATAGAAATAGGTAATATATAATTTGTATTTTTTTGGTTGTATCACTTCCAAAGTTTGTTGCACGTCTTGTCAGTGTGCCAGGAGTCTACGTCTGTTTTTAGTGTTAGGCCTGGCTATTGCTACGCCTCGCCGCCGGGCACGTGGGAGCGACGTACAGGTCGCAGCGCGCAGCCACCGGGCAAGTCTCGGGTCTCGACATAGGGGGACGCAACTTTTCGGGACATCCGGGTACTCTTGTGACCTCGGGTCAGAGCGAGGTGAAATGTTGTAGCTTCACGTCACCTCGTTGGACGCATTGCGCGCGAAATAGACTACGCGACCATGCGGCGGCGCGGTATTTATTAAGCATGTACCGTGTATCGCTCTTAGCTCTAGCTCTGCGTTGATGATATACGTACTCAGTACACACGGGTACGCGCAGCGTCGTCAGCATGCAGCGTCACCAGGTTTTGGTTCTTCATTATCATCATGCCTAAAAGCTGTGAAGCTGTGTACTGCACCAATCATAACTTTAAACGTGTAGAAAAATTGTCTTTCTTCAAGTTACCTTCAAGAAAGAAATCTCCGGAAAGACGAGACAAATGGTTGAATGCATGTCAGAAACTGACCAAAACCGGTGGGCGATGGAGCCCAGGGAAACATGCTGTACTGTGCAGCAAACACTTTGTAACTGGTAAGGAAGAAAATTGTTTTTGAATAGACCTAAGTTAGAGTGTAGTGTCTGTATTTGCAAGCTTTACCAAACGTAGTTCCTCTATATATTTTCTACAAATATTACAGCTATAGATCTCTAGCAATCTAGGTTACTTGGCACAAATAATGTTATGAGAAAAACCTGATGGAGTGATGATGTGAATTTTTAATGTGGATTCCAGGGGAAAAACTGAATTTTATTTAAGGGGCAACAACTGAACAAGCCCCCCCCCCCCATTAGTACGCAAGTAAGAGAGGTGAAAGTGAATACCCCCCATAGAGCTATAGACTAACCAGTCTTATTAATTATATAGCTCTATGATGATAGTGCTGTAACTTAGATGCCATGTTCGTGTTGACTCTAGCTAGATGATCTAGCCAAGGCAGTAGCGTACGCAGGATTTTTTCAGGGGGGGGGGGGGTAACATTTTTAAATCGGGCTGAAAATTTCGCAACGGCTCAGCCAGCCGCTGAATAGGCGCGTACACAGGGGGGAGGGGGGGGGGGGGGTCTGAGGACACTTTTTTTCTTCTTTTTTTTGGTCCCAGAAAAAACTCAGCCAGCCGGGGTGTTTTGCTCCTAATTACACACATTAAAAAAACTGAAGGGAGGGGTTCAACCCCCAACCCCCCCCCCCCCCCCCCCCCTGCGTACGCGCGTGGCTCTATGCTCCATTTAGGGTCAATGAGTTGCCCGAATCAGCTTACCACTGTACACAATTAAAATGTTAATTTTGTTGTTGATTGGGTTTGAGCTGAACTTGTTTTGATCAGCGCCTATAGAACGCACATGTATTCTTGTTTATGGCTTGTCATCGCAACGTAGCGAAGGTCAGGATTTGGGATTTAAATGGCGCCAGTTAAGTCGCGCCCACCACTGGATAGGCATAAATCACAAAGGAGGATAATGGGAAAAAAGTATATATAAAATGAGTATGGTAATCATGACATGAAAATTAGGTACAAAATGACAAGTTAATTACCTTGCGAAAACGTTAAAAAAAATTCTGCCGAAAATCCGAACCAGGCCTTAGTGCTCGGTTCGGTTCGACTCGGTTCGGAAGTGTCATGTTCGGCGAACTTCCATTCGGTTCGGCTACAGCACTACTCTATGAATATGATACCCCCTCACAGGTTTTTGAAGTTTTATTGTATTAAAAAATTACATTCTTTAGCAGAACTATAATATAAATCACCGCCCTGGTGTAAACTGTAGTCTAGCTAATTTGTGTTTACTTTCCTCTTCTTTGTATGCTCAGGTGCCCCAGTTTTGCTGCAGAATCATCCAGACTACATCCCCTCTATCTTCCCACACAAACCAAATAGCACTGCAAAGGGGCATCAAAACTTGAAGCGCTTTCAACGGAAAGAGAAAATCAGCAAACGTCGGCTATCATTCTCGCATCTTCAGGACGTAGACAAAGTACCAGATCCAGTGCCACTTGAAGATGATTTCATGCAACCTCCTGAAGCTGAACAGGCAGACGAAGCATGTCAACAAAGCAGTGTGTCTACAGAAGAAGCTTACCAGCGTAAAATCAAAAAGCTTGAGGAAGAGTTACTAGCTGTCAAGCAGGAAAGGAACGAATGTCGTGAGGAATTCAATAAACTGCAGGAAGATTGTCAAAAATATCAAGAAGAGTCAGATAAGCTGAAAGAGCAGCTTGAAGGAAAGTGTTTGTCGTCCAAGATAATTCAGGGGGATGACAAGAAGTGTCGTTTCTTCACTGGCCTGCCGCTGTCTGTCTACGTAAAAACATTTGAGCAATTAAGAAAGTTTGTACCCCATGCTACGACCAAAGATTCTCTGTCATATGAAGACCAGTTCTTTTTCACTCTTGTTCGCTTGCGGCTGGACTTGTCTTTTGAATTCCTCGCTTACCAGACCGGAGTGGCAGAGTCAACAATCAGGGGGTACTTCTGGCTTTGGATTGACATGATATTTTACAAGTTGGACTTCATGTTAAAGTGGCCGTCTCGGGAATCAATTTCAGCTACCCTTCCATCAGCCTTTAGAAAGAAGTTCCCGCGTTTGACAAGCATCATAGACTGCTTTGAGATATTCATGGAGCAACCAAAAAACCTGCATGCTAGAGCTCAAGTGTACTCAAATTACAAAAAACATACAACTGTTAAGGTATTCATAGCATGCACTCCTCTTGGAGCTGTTTGTTACCTATCTCCAGCATGGGGCGGGCGTGTATCAGATGTAGAACTTGTAAGACAGAGTGGATTCATAGACCCTCATCTCCATGAACCTGGCGATCAAATCCTAGCCGATCGAGGATTCCTTCTTCATGATGACTTCGCTACGGTTTGCTCAGCAGAGCTTATTACTCCAGCATTTACAAGGGGGAAAAGTCAGTTGTCAGCATGGGATGTGGAGAAGTCGCGAGGAATGTCGTCAATTAGAATCCATGTTGAGCGTGTCATTGGACTTATGAAGAATCGCTACACCATTCTTCAGAACACTCTTTCAGTTTCCATGGTGAAGTCACGGAAAGGCGAGGCAGATGGTGACAACTTATCCAGCATAGATAGACTGCTTCGGGTGTGTGGCATTTTGGTCAATCTCGGTGGGAGCATTGTGTTCAAGGATTGATTAACTGTTTTGAACAAACTGCAGAAATTACGAACAGAATAGTGTTGTTGTTGTTAGCGTTTAGATGGCGCTCTTCAATCTTGTCAGATTATCTGCGCCACGGCGTTCCTTCTTTGATGTTCATCTTTTCGAACTTAAGATCTCATGGCTCACTTTTACTGATTTTTTTTTTTTGTGGGGGGGGGGGGGGGGGGGGGGAGGTCTGTCTTTCCAGACTCCTGCTTTCCAGTTCAGAGTTAGCTTACCGTACCTGTCTCAGCGAAGTGCTACTGTGCAAGATTAAATATATGAATTGTTAGCATATTTTCAAAATTATTTGTTCAAATTCCATGAAACTTGTACCCAAGGGTTATCAAGTATCACAAATCATATGACACTCACAGACACAAATTCCAGGTCACAAGGTAAAAGGTCATTTTAGGTCAGTAGACTTGGATTATGTTTTCACAAATTAATATGAGAATTAATAAATCAATTTTTGTTATTCATACATGTATTTCATTCAAGTTATCGATCTTGGTACAAATAATAGTTATTAATTCTTCTGATGATTCTTAGTCAATATTCACTTCAAAATGCTGATTATATCTAATTCTTCATTTTTTGGGGCCTGCTAATGGGCCATCCTGCCTATAAATAATGTTCCAACCTCAATTTTTCATTGTATTGAATTGCGTAATGCAGGCGAGACCGCTGAGAGCGTTTCCCTTGTTTCTCTTTCATATTTCTTGCATTGTAGTAAAATGTTCTATAGTTTCTGAAACCTAACAATGGATACATAGTCCATCTTCATGTTGATTAATAATGTGCTGATAATAATTTAATTTGCATTTCCCTAGTCTCAACTGATGTATAATCATGTCCACACAATATTATTTGAATGGTTAATTGCATATTTTGTAATAGTGTAAAAGTAGAAAAATTTGCGATACATTAATTTTCGCAGGTTTCCCGCTACGATCGGAACTCGGAAGGCGCAAATTTTAGAACCAGCAAAAATATAAGAATGATTTTTCACTTTTCATGCATGTTATGAAAGGGCTGAATTGCGTGCAACACAAATATATTTTGGGGTAGCTCAGCGTGAAAATTTATTCTCGCGAAAATATCAGCATTTACAGTAGATGGAAACTTATTGATTTTACTAAATTACCACGATATGGCAATCATGACTAAATGGAGGAAGAACTGTATTTGATTTTATTTCTTAATAAATTCTAAAGCTCTTTTTAAATAACATAATCTGGTTACACTACTTCCATTTTTTTTTCTTTTCTCTTTTGTGATATAACTGTGGGAAAGAATGCAAAGTAAATGGTAGAGAAGAATGAAGTTGCACTTGGAAGTTGGATATGAAGAAGCAACAGTTCATAAGAAATGAAAAAGTGAGAAATGAAGAGAAAGAACCTTTTTTTTAAATATTTATTTTAAAAAAATGAAACTTGAAAAATGAGCAAGAAATATTTGTTGGTTGATAGTCGAATGAGGGAGAAACCCATTGGAATTGGAAGGAATGGAGTGTAGAGAAGAGAGGAATCAAGTTTGATATGAAGAAGTGAAGAACAATAAGTGAATGGGTGATAAGAAATGAAAGAAAACAAAAGATAAGGAAGAAACCTTTAAGGGGGTATCACACTGAGTGGCGAACATAGCGTATATTGGGTTTTGTCAGGGTTCTTAAAAGGTTACCATTTGCCAAAAAGTTCGCAATCATGTTCGCAAACGGCTTTAATTGTCATAAATACTTTTTCTGCAATGATATCTTAAACATTTTCAAAATGTCTCCGCTTGTTTTGGACAACATTTGTCAAAAAGTTGATGAATTGAACAATTGCAATATTTGCAAGCATTCGCCACTCACTATCATACCCCCTTTTAGGAAAAATTACAGACAAGATAAAGGGATGGGAAGAGGGAAGAAGGAAAAAGGAAATCTACACTAGGGGCACCTGCCACCTTCCCTTATCTAAATGTCACAATATCACATCTCTTCTTGCTCTTATCCATCTCTTTTATATTCCATATCAATACATGTACTCATTGTTCTTTCATAACCTTTCAGTCAAGGCTCATGTACCATATTTAAATTTGATCTTGGAGAAAGTGAAAAAAAGTACAGAGAAGAGGTAGAAAAGAAACAAGTTGCAGAGTTCAGGTGTGACAAGAGTTTAAGAATTTTTTTTCAAGATGGGAAGGTAGAAAATAGAAAAGTAGTAGTGAAAAGGAAAACAGAGAGGAAAGTTTTAACTTTGGAGACTTGCTGACAACTCGGTATATACATGTACCTTGCTACTATCTCTTTATTTCTCATTACACCCTGTGCCTCCTTGCCTACTCTCAATTATTCTTGATCTTTTCAATCAACACTCAAACTGTCACATATTGAATTTGCTTTGACACCTTTTTTTCACTCACTTCTAATCAAGTGGTTATTCTTTTGGAACACTTTTTTCACTTTCTTCACATGCCATTTTATTTCCTTCCGACTTATTACAAGGTCACCTTTCATTGCAAAGTTAAGACATACAAATCCAGTTTCCATGTCTCTTCAGTATCTTTTATTTTTACATCGATCATGGAAGTACTGTACATGTACAATTGTACATGTATTTTCATAGGTATTCAGTAAATTACAGGAACAATGATTGTTAAAGGCATCGTTGAACAATGTTAAATCTAAGATGCGTGACCCTACGTGTTATCAGGGTCTGTGATATGGTGTAATATTGAAGCCCTAAAAAAATTGAGCTTCAAAATGATCATGAAGTGCCTCAAAAAAAAAATTAAAATCTTTGAGTGACTGTTTATACCATACTCGTAAAAACTGTTAGGAAAACAAATTTTTGTTAATTTCAATTTCCAATCATAAATATCTTGATATTCAGACAGGCAATCGGCTTGCAAAAGTCATGGGATTCCTGACTGACCTAAAGGTTTATAATTATCATTGCAGCATGAGCTAAATCCAGGATTTTATTTCAGAATCTAAAACAAAGTTACCGAATCCCTTTACATCAAAATAAAACAATGTGATATAAAGCGTCTCTTCGAAGACCAAGTAAAGGTTATAAAGTGAACTTGATTAACATCAATCACAATCATAAAATCTTTACCTTCGCATTTAAAAAAAGATATGTACTACATGTACGTACCCATGTACACTGTCAAATAGTGTTTTATCTTGCTTACGGTAATTTAAAAAAAAGTTAAACGTCAGGTGTGGACTAAAACACCTATCATGTGCATAACACATACAGACTTCATGCATAAACTGAAAAGCCAAGGGATTTGTTTCCACGATCCATTGCCAATGAAGTGTTCAAATATAATTTTTGAAAAGAGAAAACATTTCACAAAAATATTGTTACAAATTTGTTAGCAACTAGGTATGCATGGCAACAAAATACGAACATCAAGGACACCTTTAAGCATTTTTACAGCCCTTGCAGTACCATCTTCCTTTAGGTACTGTCTTTCGTTTCGGAACAATACATCGTAGATGAACCCATTCATATTTGCACTTTGCACCATCACAGCCGACCATTACATTGTCCGGACTGTCGTCATTTTGGTCGTATGGCTCCTGGCAGTAGCAGAACAGAGTATCTCCATCCATCTTTTTCACATCTTCTTTGCTCTTCCTTATTTCTACTACCCGGGTTACAAGTTCACATATAATGTTCGCTCTCCAAAACTTCTCAAGCTTTGAGACAACAGCATGTACATAAAAATCATTATATTGCACTTGGTTAATCATGAGTTCGTTCCCTACTTTGATAATAAATGTACAGTAATCAACATTGTAAACACGCATCTGCATCTGAACTTGATCGTAATAGCGATGTCCATACTTAAGGTTGGAGTTCGCATCTAGGCAGCAGTACTCGCTCTTGAGGTATTCCTCTCTTGACATGCTTCTTGCAGAGTAGGGGCACTTAATTTCTATCACTCCTTTTCCGTGGCAGCTGCACTCCACAAGTCCATCGGCGCTTGCCCCAAGCCAGTGACGCTCTGCATCCAGTCGTAGTCCAGTGTGAGTGATCTTTATGTCATTGTGGCTGCATGTTCGAGAATATTCCTCAAGTACATGAGATTCGTTATCCCTACCATACTTCAGGGAAGCAGTGTTGATTGGGGCTATGTTGGGGTTTGTTATACTGAGGAGAACTGACTTTGCTGGGTTATCTTGATTTGTGTGGAGGACATCGTACACGCGTGATGCAGTGATTCGGCCAGCTCTCTGGTCATGCCAGACCACGCTGTCCGCTTGTTTTTCTGTGGCCTTCTCGATCTCGACGATCTCTTCCTTTGATATGGTGATCTGATGAAGGTCTGTGAATTTCTGTGGTTGGAGTTCAGTGCTTTGCGTGTAGTAGGAACGGAGTGGAGCTGGGAGTGGAGCTGGGAGTTTACGTTGGGGTGTCATGGCTGGGTTCCTTTTAAATAGGTGGCAAGGAAGTCCCTCAAACAAACTAAGTCCCACCGGTTTCTTGTCGGTTTCCATGAGAGAAGAAATAAAAGCATCTTCTTCGTCCTTGGTGCAGTGAGACCACTTCCTTTTCTTAACACTGTCCTTTTTGATGCTGTCCTTTGCCTTCTCCTTGTAAAACTTAATGTTCCTAATCTTTGCTGGTTCAACATTTGACACGAACCTATTGTTCCACTGGCAGGCAACATCAGTACAAGCTTGTGTCGTATATCCTAGACGTACTGCTGCCTCAACTTTGAAGAGTACTGCTGCAACATGACTGCACGACTCCCCCAGTCCCGCCATACACGTACAGTGAGCTGCAACAACCTGTCCGGTATTATCGGTTGCCACCCAGGGACTGTGGGCAGCGTCATTCAAGCGCTGAGACGGTTTGACAGCTGCGCTGAAGATGATAAACCCCTTGGACGTGACCTGATGATAAACAGTCTGCACCCAGCCTGATTGAAATTGTTGGTGCGCCTCCAAGCTGCGGTAGTTTTTCATCGTGGCATGTGAGAATGGCCCTGCAAAAGAAAGGGGAAAAAAGAATTTAAAAGAAAGAAAAGAGAAATAAGCATACTGCCTATAAATTGAAGACAAAGTAACAAAGTATGATTTGTGTAATATTGATTTGAGGAATTATTATCAAACGGATAGAAAATATTATAATAGACTCTATGCACTTTCTCACAGGATTCACGGCAAACCATGGAGCTATAAGTTAAGAGCTCCATCCCCCGCCCCCCACACCGGAGTCGGAGGGACCGCATGCGTGTTCCCAAAATGTCCAGTACATGCACCAAAGTCCGGCTTGTAGTACACAAAAATCCAGCCCGTATTGGCTTTACACACCGGATGTGCAAACTGAAGCACAATACAATTGCATACCGTACCGATGGTCAGGTGCGGGCGCGCGTGTGTTAAGTTGGCGCCTGTAATCTTAGTTTATGGACGCTTAATAAAAAAACATGAAAAACACTTGCTAAAATGGATCTAAAATCTATTTCTGATTTAGAAAAAATTAAAAAATTTTGGCGGCCATCTTGAAAGATAGCCCGACTGTCAGGGAAAATGTACCGAGCGGCCATTTTGAGGAAAAAAAAGGGCCTCCTTCCTTTTTTTTTCGAAAAAACATGACGCTAAACATGTTAATTTTTTTATTTGGCCTAACTGAACACATGCACGCGCCCGCAAACCACCATCGGTACGGTATGCAATTGTATTGTGCTGCAGTGTAAGTCTTTGTTTTAGGAAAAATACTCCAAAAAAAATCAGAAAATTGTCACAAAACAGGTACCAAACATCGACTTTTAAATCATAACCATTATTTGGACATTTGATGAATATTTAATTCATTTGGGTATCTTCACGCCGGAGTTTCGGGTCAATCAAAGTTTGGATAGAGATCTAGACTTCTGAACTAGCGCCATAGCAGGTCACGGTGTTTCAAACTAAGTTGATGTTTCTAGTACTTTCTGTACTTTAGTTCAACCTAAGATTTACAAAGACATCTAGATAATCTAGTCTAGATTTCGGGTGCCTACAATTTTTAGTACAAAATGTAAATTTGCCTTTGCCAGTTTGGGCTAGAAATTAGAATTAGAAAAGTGGCCCTTGCCCTTTCTTACTCGTCTCTAACTTTAGTCTTACTAGGGTGTCTGAACGATTTTTCAATTTTCAAATTGGGATCGTTTTTCACCATTTTTGTTTGATATTGGAATAAAAAATGTAATCAGAATAGTCTAATACCTTTCAAATTTCAAGACTCACCGATGTTTCTATCAAAAGATACAGCCCCTCAAAAATTGTGCAATATTCATAGCATTTTGGTCAGAATGGACAGAAAAGTGGTTCACGCAGAGTTATAATTTCTGCTCAAAAGCTGCACAGCTAATGCACAGCACGATATGCAAAGTGTGGAGCAAGGGTATTTTCAAACTGTTGTAACAAATGATCCCTTGGGACTAGAGAAAAAATAAGTGCATGGATATATTCTTTACAGCTGGCCCAACTTATCCCTCGGGGGAGCAGTTCGTGAAATTGGTAAATCTCAGAGTTACCATGGAAACGATGTTTAAATCGCTGTTTTGAGCAAGATATTTTTAGAATTCCGGGGGTGGCCCCCTATGGGGAATATGGAGAAAAACCTGCTCTTTCATATGACACCACATTTATTGAGTTTCACCTTCAGGATCATTTGTTATAAAGGTTTGAATTTCAAATTTTTCATAAAACCATTGACCAATTTTGCTTGGTCGCGCAATGCATGTAGACCACATAGGGATGTGTGCAATCTCTATAATATGGGAAAGATTTTAGCACACAACATCGGGTGCGCGATCAGACACCCTAGTCTTACTCTTACTCTTACTACAATAAATCGGGTTAAATCATGGATTCAGTGGGGCTTGTGACTAATACGTAGAGAATATCATCAAACAATTCATTCAAGATAAATCCCTCCAAGATCCAATATAGACTAGATCTAGATCTAGAAAAAAATCTAATGTAGACTACTAATACTACTAGTCTACTTAGACTAGACATTCAACTTACCGTGGCTTTCAACTAAGTAGCAGTAGACATCGGCATATTCAATGCGCGGCCAAGCCTTTGGATCATCTATCCAAACATCTGCTGGATGCTTGTAAGGGCATTTTTCCAGGCCAACGGAGTCCAACTTTACTTTGTAACGGTGCCTTGCATCGTAACTGAGCTGTTCCGTGTAGTTGAATGACATTTTGAGCTAGAAAAATGAACGCAATTACACTGGTAATACTGATCTCGATATAGCTATAGCGTGTAGACCTACGTGTATTTGTATTCACCTAGCGCAGACGATGTTTTCACCGCGACAAAATGGCGGCGACCGTGGGAAACCGGAAGTGACGTAAAAGTTGCGTCCCCCTATAGACCTAGATCTATACTTTTTGGTATGGTAATCTCAAAATTATCTTGAACTTAATTATTACTTAACAATAACATGTTATTACGGAGCCCCGGAAGTGACATGGAGAATTTTTTTTTTTCTTGTTTTCCTGAGATAAATTCTCGTTTTCCTGAGATAATTTTTCGTTTTCCTGAGATAATTCCCGTTTTCCTGAGATAAATTCTAGTTTTCCTGAGATAATTTCCGTTGTAAAATGAACAGTTAAAATGAATTGAAAAAATACAATTTTCTTCTATTTTTCTATAACGTTTTGGCATCTGAATGCCCCCCCCCCCCTGAGTACGATGTCATATATATTTACTGTAAATTGCGAGCGAGCGAAGAGCGCAATTAACAAATAAAAGACACTAGTCTTACTCGTACAAATTTAGGTACAATTCCAATTTGGATGATAAATCTAGCTTGATTCAAGAACACTTTATTAACAGACTGCCCGATTACAACAGCCCACGAGGCCGACGGCCGTCAGCCTAGGGCCTAAATCCAGTTTTAGGAGGGTATTCAGTTATTCACATCACCTTGTAGGTCTCAACATTCAATTGTCGAAATTCGATATATTTATGAAGATAATTATCAATTCCAAAAGGGCCTTAAAGGGGAAGGCCACCCTAAGAATATCTATATTTTAATAAAAGGAGACAAATAAGACAAAGTGATTAATAAAAGTTTGAGGAAAATCGGATATGAAATAAGAAAGCTATGAAATGTTCAAGTTTTAAACAAATTAAAATCGATCAAGAAAATTGGGAAATCTGTGACGTCACATGCGCCACTTATACAATAGAATGCAAAATAATATATGAAAAATATGACATTTCAACTAAACAGAATATTTTATTTTGATGCACTCTTGATCGTAATAATTGCAAATAATCTCTGTGTTCGACAGCTCGATTCCTTCATCAAAACTCCGCGAAAATTGAAATTCCTATATTCTTTTGTATTCTATTGTATAGGTGGTCGCATATAACCTCATAGATTTCCCGATTTTCTTGATCTTTTATAATTTGTTTAGAACTTGACCAACATAGCAACAACTAATGTATGCAATTTACATTCTCACTATTGAAATGCAGTTATTTGAACAATTATTGATTGAATAGTTTGTCACTACGCACTTAAAAAGATGTGTGCACTAAATTTGACTTCATTATGAAACTGGTCGATTGGGCAATGAGATGTCGATATATTCTCAGGTTAAAATAGATTTGTAAATTCCAATATACATGTAGCCTTCTTTTTGTCTACGTTTTCACTAAGAAGCGTTGTCTTTTCCTCGCTCGTTTTGCTCGCTTGTACCATAAAACCACCACATTTTAATCAGATTTGCTATCCAAATAATAGGTATTTTCCCCATACTTTCACTAAAAAAGTTCCAACTTTTCTCGCTCACTTGCACTATATACAACTGAAACCTAATTATGGGCAGCGAGATGTTGAATTGACAGCAAAAAAAATCAATCTAACTTCAAGTCAGAATTCAAGGCACATACCCTCCCACTGCCCCCAACTCCATGCTTCTCATTCTAATTTGTTTTCATTTTATTAGATGAGCGTGATACCAGAATAAATGGCATCTTCCCCCTCTTCTTTCTTTCTTTTCGATTTTCGTTTTATCGGTATCTTTTCTCTTGTCCTTTGTGTACTTCTTTGCGTAAGTACCTCTGTTATACACTCTCCCTCGTATGTCTTCCTATCTATATAAAATTCTTTCTATTCTCCCGAATTATCAACTTTTTTCATTCACCATCACTTCCTTTTTTCTCTCTGTTCTTTAATTCTTCTCCTCTCCTTTTAATTTTCTCTCTCTCTCCAATTTCTTTGCTCTCACTTTCCATCAATCTTCTTATTTCCACTGGCCTTAATAACACTTTTTGTGAAAAAATGGAAGTCAATAAATACATGTAAACAATCCAAGAGAGTGGGTTTATTATTACATACAGTGGTAATGTGGCATAATCTCTGAACAAAGAAATGTTAGGTATCTCGATCCCTTTTGCACTTTAATCGGTAATTGTCAGTATACATTTAAAAACCATAAAGTTGAGTCAGCTGATATTGATGTTGTCTTCTAAAATGGAATTCATGCAAGTGTAAACTTTGGTATAGAAAAATACTGATCCGGAGGTAAAAAAAATAATAAGTGGTATACAGTGACTTTTTGCAAATATTTAAAGAATTGTCATTAAAAGTACTCGAGTGGTGATCACATCATAGAATATAATATGCAGTAAATGTATAGCTTTCTGCTCACTAATGAAATATCGTCAAGAAGAACATAAGTATGCAGAAGCTTTTGAAAAGCAAAGAAAATGAATTTTGGTGTTAAAGATGGACATAAGTAGGATCTAGGAAGCTAGCTTTCTGTTAACAAATAAAAACGAAGTATAGCCAAGAAAACATAAGTACACGGTGATTTTCCGCTAATAAATGAAATTAAGTTTGGTAAAGAAAAATATTAGTATGCCTATGCAGTCACTTTCTGCTAACAAATAAAATGAATAGCGATCAAGAAAAACATAAGTACACGGTGGCTTTCCGCTAACAAAAATAAATTTTGTTAAAGATGCACATAAGTAGGACCTAGTAAGTTAGCTTTCTGCTAACAAATAAAAACGAAGTATAGCCAAGACGAAAATGAAATTTGGTCAAGAAAAACATAAGTATGCCTATGCAGTCACTTTCTGCTAACAAAAAAAAGAGGTTTGGTCAAGAAAAGCCTAAGTACGCAATGGCTTTCTGCTAACAAATAAAATGAATTTTGCTCAAGAAAAACATAAATACGAGGTGGCTTTCCGCTAACAAAAATGAAGTTTGGCCAAGAGAAACATAAGTACGCAGTCACTTCCTGCTAACAAAACAAAAGGAGGTTTGGTCTAGAAAGTACGCAGTGCCTTTCTGCTCACATATAAAATGAAGTATAGTTAAGAAAAGCATCAGTACCGCGGTGGCTTCCCGCTAACAAAAATGAATTTTGTTAAAGATGAACTTATTAAAGTAGGACCTAGTAAGTTAGCTTTCTGCTAACAAATAAAAACGAAGTATAGCCCAGAAAAACATAAGTACACGGTGGTTTTCCGCCAATAAATGAAGTTTGGTCAAGAAAAACATAAATACGCAATGACTTTCTGCTAACCAATAAAATGAATAGCGATCAAGAAAAACATAAGTACGCAATGGATTTCTGCTAACAAATAAAATGAATAGCGGTCAAGAAAAACATAAGTACGCGGTGGCTAATTTCCACTAACAAAAATGAATGTTGTTAAAGATGAACATAAGTAGGACCTAGTAAGTTAGCTTTCTGCTAACAAACAAAAACGAAGTATAGCCAAGAAAAACATAAGTACACAGTGGCTTTCCGCTAACAAAAATGAAATTTGGTCAAGAAAAAAAATAAATACGCGGTGGCTTTCCGCTCAAACAAAAAAGGAGGTTTGGTCATAGGAGATATTACAGTGACCTTGGTTTGGTCAAGAAAGTACGCAGTGGCTTTCTGCTCAAATATAAAATGAAGTATAGTTACGAAAAACATTAGAACCGCGGTGGCTTTCCGCTAAAAAAAAAAAAAAAATGAAGTTAGGTCAAAAAGAACATAATCATTTGACACAGTGTATCAATGAACTTTGTTAAATAAGGAATAATTATTTTACAAAAACCATTCTGGACATTTCATCACCAAATGACAAACATTTTCTATGAATATATAGCTTCATAGCTTCAAATGTCTGACTGCATACGGTTTGCTATTATACTAACATTTGCACAGATTTAAAGGAAACCATTACCCAAGGAGAGAGTCAATCTTATAGGAAAGAGTAAAATGAGAGGAACATTTAAAAAAAGTTTCATCAAAATCGGTTATAAAATAAGAGAGTTATGGAAGTTTGAAAAGTCTTGTTGTACTTTCTATGGGGATCCTCAAATTGACAACGCTGCTTCAAAATGGCTGATTTTGTGGACAACTCTCCATTCGTTTTCTACACAAATTTTCAGATTTCTTCCATTATCTTTCAAAGTGCATCTTACCAAGGAGATATTACAGTGACCAAATATCTCCTTGATCTTACCTCCTTCTGAGCTCAACATATGGGGAAATATATTTCACACCACATTTATGTCAAAGCAAGGAGATATCTCCTTGGTCAAAGTCAGAAGGAGACAATAAAAAATATGAGAAGTAATGGTGAAAATCTGAAAATTTATGTACAAAGTGAATGGAGAGTTGTCCACAAAATCAGCCATTTTGAAGCAGCGTTGCCAATTTGAGGATCCACATAGAAAGTACAACGAGGGCCCAGTAGTCAATTTAAGTGTAAGTAGGTACGTGTATAAGAGTACAGACATCATTATTCAGATTGAACATGATACTTTAAACTCATGCAAAGTCCATTGAAAGATACCCCGAAGAGAGTACAGGCTGCCACTCGCTACGGAACTCTCTATAGGATGCATATGTGGAGGGCAACTCGAGCACCGGTCCACACGTATGTGCGATCGGTCTGCGGGCAATCCCGCTCATGTCTCTAAATTCAATTGTTATAGACTTCACTGACATAATAGAAGAGGAAGTCATGTAACGAAGCAATTTTCCAAGACCCTCGTTGTCTTGGGCACGTACAAATTGCATCAAATACCTTAGTGACTGACTCTGTTCTTTGGTCATGGGGTTTGCAACGAAGAGATCGCAAACCTTCTTTGGCGTAGGTTTGCACCTATCGTACAAGTTCTTGATTGACTGGACACTAGGGAACGAGTTGGCAAGAGCATCCCGAACTATTCCTCCCATTGCTTGCAGTGCGTAGCTGCTGTTTTGAACCATACACTTGTGCGCTAGTTGCCGTATGACTGGTAGAACTTGGTCATCCTCTGGAATCGTATGGCTTCCCTCTCTATCAAGGAGGTCCTCAAATATCTCCTTTTCATCATCTGAAAGGTGACCTGCCATAGCAGCTCTGACGGCTGCAC